AAAAAAAAAAAACAAAAAAAAGAGTAGATAAGTGAACAAACCACCTCAAGAAACATCAGCAAGTTCATAGTGATTAACTTGTTATCCCTGATTAGGGAGTTTTCAACAGTACTGAAAAAATAGCTATGTCAGTAAACCCACCTCATCCCCCATCAGGTTCCACAGCTGGATCAGCGGCAGCCCCGTGACACTGTCGTAATTTGTGACCTGGAAACAGAAAAACGTAAGTGTGCAGCAATTCTGGTCCTAATTCACTTACATGGACACCCACAGCCAGTGCCAGAAGCACCTCAGCACCCAGTCCTGAGCAGTGCTGCTGGGAGTTTTCAGCCCCAGGGTTTCCCAGGAGCCTTGCCCAGCAGCCAGGCTGATGGGGCCTGGATTTGGGTTTAATTACAACACAGAGAGCGTGCCAGGGGCAGAGAGGACACCATCAGCAGTCCCACCAGCAACAGGACTTGCCCAGACACCTCCTGTACCTGTGCCACGAGGACGGCGCCTCTGGTCATCTCACTGACAGCGGCGTCGGCTTCCGAGGAGAAGTGATCCTCGTCTGTGGAGAGAGGAGAGCAGGAGAGGACAGATGAGACCTTCCACAGGCTTTAAAGGCCAGCAGGGACTGTTGAGCCAGTCTCCTCTGGCCCCCTACAGACCCTGGGCCAGAGAACCCCCACCCCTGGCTGAAGCCATCAGTGCTGCAGGGAAAGGATGAGGAGCTTCCTGCAGCCACCAGCTGGGACAGTGTGAACAGAAGTGGCTGGTGAATTAGGAGGCTTTAAAGACAGCAAAGCACATTTCTGCAGTACCTTTGAGCTGCCATTAATGTTTTGAACCTCAATAAACTAAGCTCGGGTCCCTTAGGACTTGACTGACCCTGCACTGGGAACTCAGAAGTGTTTGTACTTCCTGGCATCCTGCCAGCCACAGACCCCACAGGGAAACCTGGCCCGACCCCCACTCCTACAGCCACCCCTTCCCTCCCAGAAGGGCAGCTCTCACACACCAATACAGCACCCACCTCCAACATCAGTAGAAAAGAAAAAAAAAAGCAAATCAAAATGTTCCTAGGCAGTGGCTGACATTCTCCCAGGGCTTGCAGGCTTGGCTTTTGAACACAGAACTATGCAAATCAGTCATTTCAGGAGGAAAATGTCAGGTATTTGTCTGCAGATTAAAAACTGAGTTTGCATTTAGAGTGACTCTGTGACAGAAGAATCAGAGCAGTTACAGCTACTGCACCTACACCCTGCCAGTCCTGCCAACTTCCTGCTTACGACAGTAATTCATTCTCCCCTCCAAGCAGGAAAAAGCCTGGACATTTATCATCTTCCCCCTGCACTCTGACAGGTTATGCCATGCTAGCACACTTCGAAGAATACCATACAATTTTTCCAATCCTTCCCCTTGTCACATCCAATTGCACTGGCAATAGGAGGGGGAAGGTTTTGACAAAATCATGGCTTGGACACAGCTGGCATCCATGGAAACCTGCAGGAGAAGTGCCAGTGGTACATCGGGAGCTCCATTACCTGAAAGTGGCACCACATTGTCTAGTAAAACTTCTGCTCCTTGGAAAGGTAGTGTTAAAAAATCAGACCTTAAAGAAAAGAGGATCAATCAGTAAGAACATGGCTTTAAGTTACTTCTGCATTCTTTGAGGTGACATTGATTAATCAATTGCTCTGACAGGAATTCAGTTTTAAATTAACGACAGTCAAATAAAAAAAAAAAAAAATCAGACTGTTCTCCCAGCAATCTCAGAGCAGCAATAAATTGTTTGATTAACATGCCAAGTTGGATCAGGCTTCAAGCAAAACCCACGTCCACCACGGAGGCTGTGCTGCTTGTCTCCCACCTCTGGGGCATAATCAAGTATTTAATGGGCTTGTGTAAGAAAATTCTGATCCAACACAGCTCTCCCAGCCAACAGGGTGGGGCACTGAGAATTGGGAGCTTATTCCTAACCATCACTCAACTACACTCTGGGGCCTCCTGGGGGCATCCTTTTACTCAGCTTCTATACTGAAGTGGCAGAATTTGCCATTTTCTCTCCCTCTCTCTCAAAAAGCCTTACAGGAGCTTGCTGTGCTCCCAGTAACCCACACCCACTGCTGAGATAAACCTTTCCACCATTTCCCAGTTCAGCTGTGGAATAACCTATAAGAATTCAAACGATACAGATGCCTGTGATGAGGACTTGAGCCAGATGTGGCCTCAGGCCGTGGGAGAGGAGCTACAGACCTGATCTGCCTGAGTGTGTCGACCTTCACTTTGTCGTATCCTCCGTAGTCCACGTATTTGAGCTCCACTTCATCGGTCTCTTCAAAGTAGTTGATGACTTGAGCCCGGAGCCATGCCCCATCCAGGCCTGGAGCTGCACAGATAATACCAACTGCAAAACCCCAGAGCACAGAGAAAAAAGGCTCAGGATAAGGAGATTTCCAGCAATCAGCACTTCACACGTGAGCAGTGCTGCACAGTTATCCACGGAGAATCAACAGCATTTCTTGGGCTGCTCCCACCTTCCTCCAACACCACCCACCCCCCAGACCAGCCCTGCAGCTGGGACACAGGACTGGGGGATTTTATGTCAGGTCTCTTTTGCCACTACCAAGCTGCTCTGCCCAGGTACCCACTTCCCTTCCAGCCTGTGGACACTAAGAGCAAGGTCCGTCTCCACAAAGGAATAAATAACCCCTTTCCATGTGATGCTTCCTTCACTGCATGCCATGTGCAGACATGGTGACAGACATGGACACTCTGAAGGTCTGGGAGTAGTTCCACACTTTGTCAGCAGAAATACCCAGGTGCCAGGTTGACTGGAAATAACCTGAGACAGGCTTGATCTCACTCTGAATTTCAACATGCAGCCAAGTGGCTCGGGAGGTACTCCAGGGATGAGCAGGGTAAGGGAGAGCAGAGCAACATCTGTATTCTGGCAACGGCTTAAAGATGAGATGACAAGTGCACTATCACATCCTCATCCACTGGGAAACTTCCCATGACTAATTCAGGGACAACAGGCTTTGGCACGACCCTCGAAGTTTCTCAACTGAACAACTTGTGAGCATCCATTACTTGCCTTCGACCGGAGTGGGCAGGGTTGGAATTTCGGGTTGGGAATAGCAGGCAAACATCTGCTGGTCAAGGCTCCGCAGGACGTGGAAGGTGGGGTGCGTGTGCTGCTGCAGGAACATGTGCCCTGCATCGACCTGGTGTGCCACCACCACCTCCACAGTCACCCCATCGGGGAGGAACAGCTGCCAGGGGGAGGAAAGGAATTGTCAGGAGTGTTGATGGGAAGCCAGGCTGCAGTCAGAGCACAGCCAGCACGCCGGGACTCACCCAGGCAGAGACGAGGAGGGAATGGAGCGGCACCGGCATGGGCGGAGGGAGGGTGTAGATGTTGGTGAG